CGACACCTCAAGTACCTGCTTGAAGACTGGCTTCACTCTTCTCTGTCCTTCACTTCACGCACGTGCTTCTCACACCTCGACATCAGTGCAACACACAGTGGAACGTTCCTCCCGCTACTACTTTGTTGGTGGTTTTAGGCGTGAGGCGAGTGAGGTGTGAAGGCGCGAGAATATTTGGGTGGTGTGACGGCGAGTGTGCACCTTCAAGAGGTCGGATGATTTGAACACGTGGGAAGTGGGGAGGGGGGCAGGAGGCGACATTGGAATGCTGCGATAGGGGAGGGGGTAGGAGGACGGGTGTGGTGGATAGGATGACGACCGTGTGTGTGTGTGTGTGGAGAGGCTTGTGGTTGTGGCGTTGCGACCACCAGAGATGTGACAGAAAGAGGGGAGTGATGCAGTGAATGCTTGGGATGTTATAGGGACGCTCTTCATGATTGCAGCTAAACCATCTGTGAGAATGCGAGGAGGCAGAGGAGGAGGAGGAGTAGGAGGTGGCGTATCGTCGTGGTGGCGGTCGGAGTTGGTGGTGGTGGGGGTGGTGTTGGTGGTGTTGGCGGATTGGAGGGGAGTGAGTAGAGGCCTCGACAATGGCTTGGCCCTGACTCCACCGATGGGTTGGTTAACGTGGCAGCGATTCCGATGCCAGACGGATTGTGAGGCGTACCCACAGGACTGCGTGAGTGAGGCGTTAGTGGTGCGACAGGCGCAGGTGTTGGTGCAGGATGGGTGGTTGGCTCGAGGCTACGAATACGTCATCATCGACGACTGTTGGTCGGCGTACGAACGCGATCCCATATCGCATCGTCTCCAAGCCGATGCCGTCCGCTTTCCTCATGTGAGTGTCCCTTCTCTACCTCCACCACTACCACCATCTCTATTTGTCTGTGTCTTGGTCTATCTGTCCACCTGTCTGCTCGGTTGTGTGTTTGCTGATTCCGGTCTTCTCCCCCAACACTCGTCTCACGTGTTGACGCGTGTTGCACCCTTCTTCACCCCCTCATTGTACTCAATTTGTGTGTTGATGTGCACCGTTTGTGCGTT